ATGTAACTTGAACTTAAAGTGGTCCAAAAATTCCCCCACCCTCCCCCCCCCAACATTTGCCCAACCAAGTTCAAAACATGGTGCCTCGCTTTCAGCTGTGACACATACAGTATAACATTTGCACCCCCACAGCCCCCCCTACACGTTAAAAGCGGCATAAACGAGTTCATTATTTAGTAACCTTACCTCACTTATTATTATTTACATTCACTTGTTCACATTTACTTTGTTACTTTGTTCTTTGGACAGCTCCTGTGAAAAAATAGCGACAACAATCTGCATCTATCTGTTCTGATTCTAGCAGCTGGCAAGGCGTCCCTCTGGCTGCCATTACAGGCAAAGCGGGCAGCAATGGGGGGGTTAATGTCCCACCTGTGCCTTGTGCTGCCGCTTTTTAAGCAGAATGCAGGCAAATTAGCAGTGTTGTATTTTCTCTTTATATTCCACAGAACCATGGAAGCTGAAGTATCAGCAACAACTGCATCAGGTGACTTCCCTGCAAAGTCAGCAGGCTGGCAGGGTGGGGAGCGTAAAGAGGATTTACCATGGGGGTCAATAAAGTATCCGTTATTATTATTATTATTATTATTATTATTATTATTATTATTATTATTATTATTATTATTATTATGGTGGCATGCTGTCAGCTACAGAGAGCAGGGTGGGGGGCATAAGGAGGATTTACCATGGGGATCAATAAAGTATCCGTTATTATAACAATATTCCGTTTGAAGTGCACTTTGCATTCTGGGAGATACCTGGTATTGATCCTTTTCTAAGCTCTACTCAGGCAGTTTAACAAACAGTCCAGCAGCAACACCGTCCTCCACCACCCTGCTCAATGGGCCTGTTTGGTGTCTCTTGATCTCTTGATGGCTAAGAATCTTGCAACGCCACCGATGTTTTTTATGTGATATTGATTTTTTTTTATTTGCTGGGGACCAAGTAGAGATGCAACGGAATCTCCTGTCACCTGTCCTCTGAGGAATTCTGCCCACACGGAGGGGGCGTGTAAATGAGCCTGACTGCATGCCTGGTTGTGAAGCCCCCACTTACGTACCAGTGCTGCTTTCCAGTTTCTAACACCAATCGTAACAAAGGCGTCCTTCTCAGTGAAAGCAGCACCGAACGCCCTATAAGGAAAACACAAGCTTGCATGGATCTTACCGGAGTACTCAAGCCACGGCCGTGACTGATACCAAGCAGCAGAAAAGCCCCCCCTCTACCTCTAATAAAGGGTCAGGGAGATGCTGTCAGACCTGGCTGGGTGAGGGGTGTCCTCACTTAAGGCATCTGGCACTGGGACATGTTTTGGGTAAGTGCAGCTGTGCTTAGGGGGCAGATTAACAAACAGGCTCGCCCAGGCTGCAGACCAGGGGCCCAGAGCAATCAATCACTAGCTGACTAGTTTGTTAATTATAATTTTTTAGTAGTGATACTTTATTGGTCCTTTACTTGTTTGCGAGTTGGTCATTGGCTAAAACTGAATAGGGAGACCAATTCTGCATTGTGGATGCAGTGGACATACACTGGATCGGAGTGTAATGTTTTACAGTTGTCGCTATTGTGATGCCTTTATTCAGTGAGTCTCTGTCGTGCTGTTTCTGCTTGCTGCATATGACTGATGTGACAGTGTTAACTTGCCGGTTTGTTGTCCCCCTGATGTGACGGCTGTCCTCGGTAACCATGGCCACAGCTCGTTCCACCTCGTCCCCGGGTCCCGGCCACGGCGCCGCCGTCACTCAGCGGGTTGCATTTGTTCGTGGTCTCAGCGTAGAATACTCCATTACATGGATTCTCCTCACATGCTCTTTGACTTTGACTCTTTGAAATTATTTTATAGTTAATAAATTAATAATACTGCAGCTACTGTAGCTGGCTGAATCAGCAATTAGCCATTAATTGGTCAATTAGCTTGAGTGACTCTAGGCGATTGCTGACTGTGAGCTTCAGACCTACTACAGACACATATTTTACATTATTTTCCTTTCCATATATCACAAGGCCTATCAAGCAATACCTTCAATTATGGGCTTGGCCAAATTTAAAATGAATCAGAGCAGATGATACATAAACTAGAAATGAAGTATCTGTCCTGTGAGTTTGTCTGTTTCCTATGAAGGTGATTTATCCAACGGAATCCAGTGAGCTTCACTTATTCATGTAACAGTTTGCAGACTTACCAGCTTTTCGGATAATGAAAGAATGATTTATTTGTACTTCTGCCACACAGGTAAACGTGTTTCTAACTTTTCTTAACTATGTCTGCAGGTGCGTTTGTTACTTGGGTTGCCGTCATTATCATATTTCCGGAAAGTAAAATCAAACTGTCCGCAGCTTCCCAATAATACTAATGGATTCAGCAGTAGCCGTTAGTGGCACTTTCTTACCACAAACCCAAACCCTGCGGTCAGTCCACTCAGGCCGGATCAGGACATGGAAGCGTAAACTGCATGTCAGAGTGTGTTCGAGTTTTCCTACTTTTCAGCAAATGTCATCCCATGTGTGCAGACCCTGAAAAGCAGAGAGTTACGGCAGGTGAGGAAGACTCCTGGTCGCTTTTGTCCTTTGATATATCCTTTATCCTCACTTGCTACCTTGTTAACGTGTCTGTGATCAGGGGACATCCCCAGACATTTTTGTGTAAATGGCAGAAACTTTTCCACTGTCTTTCTGAAAATGTTGTATCATGCTTTTGGAAAGACATTTTAAGGACTCACTTCCCTGTTGTACCCTGAAGGAGACCTTACCCGCACCCTAGCATAGTGCTCCATGTCAACAAATTTGCTTACTAGAAGTCACTTGTCTCATTGAACATGGGAAGAGCCTTTCTGATTCGCTCATGGCCTCCACCAATGACAGACTGAGAATCACAGACAGAGAAGACAAAGCCTAGGCAGTCATTGGTCCTGGTGACGAGCTGTCAGAGGGCCGCCTCTGCCCCTTGGCCTCCCATTCCTGGCCCTGCAGCTGCAGCCTCTGCTAAAAGGAGCCGATGGAGATGGGGGGGAACGAGGACATCAGCCAGGCGGTGGTCTGCCGTGCCTGGGGCACAGCCAGGCCCCCCTTTCTTCACCAGGAATCTGCGCCCCCCCAGGTGTGCAGATCTGCATGGGCTGCGGAGGCCGGAAGCCGTAGCGATCACTTTTAGACTGCTGCCCTGGAGCAAGCCCTCGGTCACTGAGAAAAACATGAGCCTCTCGTTGGTGGGGTGGAGCAGTTCAGCCCCAGAGCAGCGAGACGAGAGTGCGGGACAGCGAAAACTTTTATTGAAACTTTGTACCTAGGTTAATCTAACTTGTATTACGGTGTTGCCTTAACTCTTAAGTCAAAGTTAGCTGAACCTCTGTCTATACAGTAGGTTTGTTGAACTTTTGTAACTGAGTTGACTTAACTCAAAAATGTATTGCAGCATGTTGCCTTGAATTTTTGAGTTGGCTGGTGCACTGAACAGTGCACTCATCGGTGTTGTGTTTGTGCACTTTCACAACATGATAATCACTACAAAATACCAACGTTCAGGTAACGCAGATTTTTACTGTGTATCAGCCATACACATACATTACATCGCTCTGTGGCTCTATGTGCATTACGATTAATCATCTGTCACATCAATGCGCAGATCCACACTATGAATCATCCATATCATAACGCAATGTAAAATTGTTCCTCAGTGCCACCAAAATGAAAAGCATGACAGTCAAAATGGTTAGATACACTATATTACCAAAAATATTGGGACACCTGAATTCAATGATTTGGAGGGGTTTCCTAATATTTTTGGTAAGACCCAGATGGATAAAGCGGTATAGATAATGGATAGTGTGTATTGCCAGTATGTCAGTGTAAACATGCTCCTGAGCGCCACGTTTCTGAATGAGTCGTTTCCCACTTACTCATTGTCACTGATTGATTGTTAGGTTCTTGTATTAAATTGGAACAATTTTACATTGCGTTATGATATGGATGATACAAAGCGTGGATC